GGAGAGAGAATTTCCGGTGGAGCAATTGGCACCAGACATTCCCCAAACGGGAAACAGGATTTGGTTATTGTTTAAATTACTAGTAATTAAACATTTAAAATGTCACATTATATAAATCAAAACTAATGTTTTGAAAGTACGTTACCTAATTTTAAAACAAGAACAAAATACATTACATGATATTAATGTAATCTGCCTCTTTGAAAAACCAATTTCTAAGAGTTAACACTTTTGGGAAACCCAGTGACCAAATTCATGTTTCCCAAAATAAAAACGAAAGCAAAGTCGACTCTAGTTTCTTTCCCAAAATAGGAAGTTTCGAACGAACGGTTTTTAAAATAGCAACGAAGACATCGTTTTAACGCAATTTACCTTGGTCCCTAGTTAACCAGTAACGGGTCCTTCTTGTTCACCTTTAAACACAACCGTACAACAAAAAAACGTGCTATAATACGATAAATGAAACTCACACACGTTTCACCTTGGTGAGGTTGAAACCCTTGATCTTTAGAGAAGTTGGGTTATCGAATATTGTTGGGCTAAAAGAGCAAAAGCCCTTGACCTTTAGAAATATTAGATTACCGAAGAATCGTTACTCGAGTTACACGATGAGTGAGAACAACATTCGAGATCAAATGAAAACACGAGAAATTTTCTGCCAAAAAAAAAAGGACAAGTTATTTGCCAACTTCAGCAATGCATCATCTCAATCTGGAAAAAAAACTCAACTTGAACATACAGTACTTCGTGCATAAAAATGGTTTTTAAGAATTTTTGTCAAATGCTTTATAATATAGTATAGATATATGGGATTTTCATAATATTCTATTAGTTGTAATTTTGTCCAACCCTACTTCCGAGTGGGACATACTGAGGGCCCGCTTAGTTTGTAGGATTTGATTCCAATCCGGCATTTGGTTTAAAGGAAAGTCCGGAACTGAAATCCCACAAACACAAGGACGGACTGTTTGGTTTGCATGATTATTTTTGAGGAATTTGGGTTTCATAGAGGGATCTGGATTGGAAAGAATTTGAGATATTAGTGTGTTTGGTTTGTAGGATTCGGAATGGAATTGGATTCCATTATTTATATTTATAAAAAAAAATTAAAAATAATTAACTACATGTCCATTAATCGATTATTACAAAACAAATGTTTTTAACATTTTTTAGAACCTTATTGCATACAATCCTATAAAATCCCGTGAAATCCCAAGCACCCCCTAAGGATTTCAAAAACCTGTATTTGTAGGATTTCAAATCCGGACAATCTAACAAACCAAACATGGGATCGGAATGGATTTGCAATCCAAATCCCTCAAATCCATTCCATTCCTGCAAACCAAATCATTCAACAACTGCCAAACAACCCCTACATCTAATCATGTGCATATTGTTTGTCGTTCTAACCTTATTATTTATCGCCATCAAGTCAAGATTACGTTCAGTTTTGATCCTCTCGACCATAATCAAATACTATTTCAATCTGCATCAAACAAAATTTCATTAGTTAAATGTTTAAATCTTCAAAAAGATCAAGAATTCTATAGAGCAATGTGTAACGACGGGTTTTTTTTTCTCAATTAATTTACCAAATGCTCAAAGTTTTCCTATTTCATACCCGTTTTGCCAGATATATGCGCTTTCAACCTCAGTTGATTTTGATGGGACATTTTTTTTATTAACCTGGATATCCAACCCGCTAAGCGAGCCGACTAATCCCAGGGCGACCACCTGCTTTGCAGATAGCCCGGAGTCACTGCATTTGAACCTCCATGGCCACAAGGGGATTTTTATTCCTCCTTGGATTTGAACCTGGGACCTCCTGGTACTTTTGACCTTTGTAGCCAAGCTCAAACCAATCAGGCACCACCCTTGTGGTTACAATATAACTTCACAACTTGGCATCCAAGCGTTGTTTCTATCTACTATTATCACTCTGTCCTGGGGGCCAATGCGTATAAGCTTGGGCTTTCTTAACATGGCTCTTTAAGAAATCTACCGGCAAATTTCTTTGCATTTTGACCAAACTAAAACAACATGAGGCCTGAGCCAATGTCAGAGTGAGATACTATACCGATGAAGAAAGGAAAGCTTACCCCAGTTGGTGGTGTCGGGTTGCGAGTAAATTTGCTGCCGCCTGGAGCCCATGGAACTGTTCATTGGCGTAAAAAACGGAACGACAGTGAGTATTTATCTTAAACTGCATAAAATAAGCTCAACCCAGGATATTATTAAGCCATCTAATCAAATCCAATGGAAAACCCGGTTTCAAGATCATCAGTTTTGCCTGAAAATCTATAATATATAACAAATAGCACAAGTTCCGACTCAGAATCCACAAGAATTTGGAAAATCCAGAACAGGGGTGTTTGGAAAGGCTACTCCACATACATTTCATCCAATCGAGCTTAAAAAGTAACGACTAGTCACTCAGTCCCAAAATAAATGTCCACAATGAAAAAGACATAGTTTTATGAACGTGTAATTATTAGACGTTTTGATTAACTAAATGACAATTGTGCTTGTGTCCTTAGGGTGGCAAGACAGAATTGGACAGGACAAATCAGATAATATGACCAATTTAACTCTAATGAATTGTTTATATCTTTTATATATTTTGATTAAATATATGTAATTTTAAAATAAATATTTTATTAACAAAATATATAATTAGAAAGTTTTCGTGAAGACAATTAAGACGACACCAATTTAAAAAGTTTATGTAGTTTCCAATTTTTATTTATACATTTTCTATATTATTTTTTTATTATTAATATTTAACAAATTACATAAATTAACCAAAATATAGAAATCATATAAAGATAATACTTTGATAACAATAAAATGAAAGTTTAGATAGCATAAAATACGATAAATAAAATTTAAAGAATGAATAAAGTGCAAAGAGGGAGGCGTATTTGATATTTTAGAAGAGAATTAGATTTTATTTTGAGGTTATATTGGTAAAACATAAGTCTGTTCCACCTTGTTCCATATATAAGTCCTGCGAAACATGGAACAGTGATTCCTGTTATGTTTCATCTTGTCCAATATACCAAACGCACGCTTAATGATAGAGGGAGTAATGAATTTCTCCATCTCATAATTAAGGGTACAAACAGAAAAAAGGCACTTGCTTTTGAAAGTGAACACTTATTTCAGAATAAACTAAAATAAAAATATGGACACATATTGTACTACGACTACCACTTACCAATGTAGGGATCAGGGTGGCGCCACTTATTGTACTGTGCCTCACCATCAGCGATCATTCTATCAATAGTATCTATATCATCCTGGATATCCACCAACAAGAAAGTATCATATAGCTGATGCTACAAATATATTTGGAAGCTAATGCATAAGAGAGAAGCAAAGTCTAATTTGTGTTCAACTACTATCTTTTTGCAGATAGCCCGGAGTCACCGCATTTGAACCTCCGTGGCCACAAGGGGATTTTTATTCCTCATTGGATTTGAACCTAAGACCTCCTGGTATTTTTGACCTTTGGAGTCAAGCTCAAACCAATCAGGCACCACCCTTGTGGTTAAAAAAAGATAGATATTTTGCAGTCAATGAGAATGGGATACAGAGCTGCAACATACATCTCTAGTCTATCGCAAATGGGTCTGAAAGGGTTCAAAGAAAGTGCTGATCTTTGAAGGATACTCTAGTGTGCAGAAAAGAGCTGTGAAAGAAAGATCAAAAAAGATAAGCCTATGGGACATGGGTATCTTGACAAATAAAGAATTCGGCAATTGATTGTTTCCTTTTTCTATCATCTTTTAAGAAATTTACAGCGCAAAGTCGAGTAGCCCAATGGATGCACCTCCAACTGCAACCAATCTAAACAACCAGAAGAGGATTTGATTGGATATGCTCATGCAGCAACTTGATCAACAGTTTGCCACCAGGGCGAACAGCAATTGGTTCCCGAGTGGCATACTTGCATAGATTGGCAAGATGCGAGTGTGTAATATACTCTTATACACAAATTAGCAGAATTCTTAGGATTGCATATGATATCCACTAGTAAAATCGATGAATAGAATAAGGTAAACCCGCATTCGAGAGGTTGGGCTCTCCCAAGGCTCACGCCAAATTAATCACCAAAACCGAATGCTTCTCCCCACTCCTACTCACACCTATTTAACACACTCCTTTTGCCACTTTTCCCTTCCCATTCTACCCCTTTACTCCTCCTAGTGAACATAACTACTAGAAACTTCTACGGTATAACAGTGCGAAGGCTGCAATGTGCAAGTCACAATTCCTTTGGGGATTGGCCACTTCTGGGCACTGGGAGCTGGCCACCGAACGGGCCGTATTCCCTCCCACATGATGCTCTTGGTCAGGGTGGTGCAGGCTGGGAAAGAACCCTTGTGAACAAACTTGATCAACAGCAGAGTTTTCAAGGTATCAAAATCAGTTTTGCATCAGAAGAGTAGTGGTTGACATCAAAACCCCAAATGTAGCTCTTTGCTAAAATGAAGAAATCAAAAAAAATTATATTAGAAACAAACCCTAAAAGATATAGCACTCAAAAGGGGCAATCTAATTTTTGTTAATTTTCCAGCTACATGATCGATCATTTTAGCAATTACAGTTCTAACGAACTAATTGTAGGCATCGATGAATCAAATTTGGGGGAAGGGGGGGTTTAATCTATATCGAAAGGTAAGATGAACGAACCACATGCTTGTTTGCATCAAATCTCTCACGAAGTGCATCAGCCTGCAAGTTTTACGATTAAAAAACAACCGAAATTAGATCGATCAGCACACAGAACTTTAAAAAGATGAAAAGAAACCCTAAGCCATACATCAGGGTAAAAGAGATGACGATGAACAGCCCAATTGAGAGTGTCTTTAAGGGCACGTCTGTAAAGGGTTCGCACCCTTTCCTTCTGTACTGCCCTCTTCGCCATGTAAGACGCTACTCCGCTCATCTTTCTCCTGATCCTCTCCTCACTCTCTGTGTTTCTTGCCAAACCCCTCTGTGGAGTGTGGAATATGGTGGAAGTATATGGATTTATATTTTAGTTTTAATTTTTCGGTGGTTGGAATTGTTTATTTGAAACAACTTATTATTATAAGCTAAAAGTATTTAATTTATTCAAAAACTTCTTATTATCGGTTGGTACTGGTATAAGTTGTTTATCCAAATACTAAAAAATGTTTATTACCGATCTCACACCAGAATAAGTCAATAAGTTGTTTTTATAATCAATTCCAAACACCCCCTTAATAGCTAAAAGACAAAAAATTATAATTTTTATCTAGCTTCGTACGTGATAATTCCATCACTTGTAGATCTGAATAGAATTTGTAATTTTTTTAGTCTTTTCGTTAGATCCACAAGTGGGAGATGTACCAATTACGGAGGTAGCGATATTTGGGTAATCAATTAAAAAAAGGACAAATTGCATGAAAAAGTAACGTACTTTAACTTAATTTCTATTTTGGTTAATGTAATTTCAAAACATCTATTTTGATACCTAAGATGTAAAATTTTAAAAATTTAAGTACTCGAGTAACCAATTGAAGACAAATATTAGATTAAAAAAAGAGTAATTTTCGATTTAAAAAAAAATCATGCCACCAACCATGTTAGCAAATAATATTGAATTGGATACCACATCAATCGACACATCAACATGATAACTAGTTAATGCTTCAACCGTTTATCCGGGTACTTAAATGTTTAAAATTTTACATCTTGGGTATCAAAATAGAAGTTTTGAAAGTACATTACTCAAAATAGGAATCAAGTTAAAGTACGTTACTTTTTCATGCAATTTGCCCTTAAAAAATGATTAGAAGAACAATTAATGAGAGAGAAATGACTATTTCGATCAATTTTCCAATCTAAAGATCGTTTATGTGTTCTACTATATTATAAAGTATTTGACAAAAATTCTTAAAAACTATTTTTATGCATAAAATATTGTTTATTAATGCATATTACTTAAAATTCAAGATTACAAGTAGAATATGCGTGAGTACATCTTATTAAAGCTTCATGTTTTGTTTGAATTCGTGAAACTAATTGCAGATAAACATAATCAAATACAGGATAAACATCTTATTTTAAATATAAAAAATCTAAAATATAATTAGGATAATCATTGAGTTCTAACAGAATACTTAATTATTATCTTTATAAAATGTTATATTATTAAACCMAAAATAAATTAGTTCATTATTAAATTTTAATTAAATTATAATAAAAAATTGAATTAAAGAAAATTACACAAAAACAAGTTAATAGTTAATTTGGTATTAATATCGATTATCAAATCTATATTTTATTAAAAAAACAAAAACATTTTTGTTTTCTCAAAAACACATAAAATCGCATTATGATATCAATAGAACCAAAATATAAAACGAAACATAAGAAACGAGATGTATTTTGTTGCATTGCGCGAGTACTCTTCTAGTGTGTTCTATAAGTTGAGTAAACTACAATTTCCGTCCCTATGGGTTGTTAATAATTTCGATTGTCGTTCTTATAATTTGCAATTTATTGCTATTTTCGTTCTTAGATTAATTCCTACCTTTTAAGTACAAGGGACCAAAACAGTAAAGAATTGTAAACCACAATGACCAAAACAACAATAAATTGTAAATCATGAGAATGAAAATAACACTTAATTACAAACTATAAAGATGAAAAGGGTAATTTTTAAACCACAGTTTACGAAAAACGTAATTTACTCTAATAAGTTTAAACATCCTCCTTACAAATCGGTTTTATTCTATCTATGTTCCTTCCGTTCGAAGGATCCAAAAGAATCGATCTTTCGATTAACTAAAAAACTGGCTTTTTACATAAAGCTCCCTCTATTTTCTATGTTATTAGGCCACTATCAAACAATTATGTATTGTGGACCAAATAAGTTGTAAGACTCATTAAGCTACTAACAAGTAGACCTCAATAGATTACCCAATGTATATATGTATATATTTATGAAGGATATTTGTGTCATTTTACATGTTCTTTTGTCTATAATACGTTGTTGACCAACTTCATCCTAGTTCATCTAGAATAGGATGAATACAAGTTAGTACTGATTGGATTGAAAATATTTGAACAATTCAAACAAAAATACAACCTGACCCAAGTTGTGCATGTTGGATTGATTAGTCGGGTTGAAACTTTGGTACATAAAAATTCATGTATGTTTGTTACCTTGAACACTGTGTTTGTTTTACCACGGTTCATTTGTTCATCATCAATCAATTGATACAACTTATTCATACTCATTCTTAAGGAGGTTATGTTTAACAGATTTTCTTAATTTGCAAACATATGAATATATGATCACATTTACTCAACATATATACGAAAACAAATGTAGGAACTATATAGAGATGAGAAGAGATTTGACGTATTACGTGTGTGTGTTTGTATATATATATATATATATATATATATATATATATATATATATATATATAGGAGTGATCATATGAAAACCGCCATCATTTGTGTAAACCGTGCAAACTACCTTCATCTGTCGATTTCATTGTTTAATCTTATGAAATTTTTTCATGAAATTGTTTAATCTTGTGAAATTGTTTCATATAATACTTTTTTTTGATGAATTTGTTTCATATATGGTTGTGAAATTGTTTCATATAATACTTAATGAAACTGTTTCATGTATTTCTCTAACATTAATGAAATTGTTTCATGTATTTCTCTAAAATTAAAATTATGAAGATGATAATATCTATGATTAACACCCTCCACAATAAAAATGATTAATCAACCTCTCATAATTACAAAAAAATGAACAAAATGAAAAATTATGATTGGTTGAATGCGGTTTGCACGGTTTGTACAAATTGAATGGTTTGCATTTGATCGCTTCCCTATATATATATATGAAGAGGATGATGGTCTAATAGTCATATTAATAAGAGATTTAACGGTCGTATTAAATTCAAGGAATTGAAAGCCATTAAATTCATCTGGTTGGGTTAGGTTCAAATGGCTCAAACCTCATACGACAATACTTAAGATTTGAAAATCTCTCGATTAAGCATCAGGTGGCTTTGGATTGGTTTATTTCAGGTTTGGGTTAGGTTGAGTTGGCCTTGTTGGTCCGGTTTTTGTGCACCCGTAGTCGAGAACAAGTGCAAATAATAGCTCCTGATTCGAGTACGTTTGACGGTCCAAATCCGTTTACTTTTTGTCATATATAATAGAAAGTTCAAATGGAAATCATATTTTAAGAGCTTAAAACCTACTATTTCATGTGTTATCCGTTACTAGAATGGTGATGGTGTAATGCAGCGAGATTTATCTCAATTTTAGTGTTTCGTTTTATTCTTCGTTTTTATGGATATAAAATACGGTTTTTAGTCGTTTTGAGAAAGCGATAATTTTTTTATTTTTAAATAAAATATAAATTTAAAGATATCATAAAAATTTAATATATATATATATATATATTTATATATATAGTCAAATCAAATGAGAACTAATTAGTTTGTTGTAATCGTCCAATCATTTTATTATATTAATTTATTTACCTTAATTAAGAAAAATTGTGTATTAGTAATTTTATTAATATTTTTCTTAACGGTTATCAATCAAAGAGATTGATACTGTATTCTTATTAATCAAACAAATTATGTAAGTTTTTCTTTCTATGAAGTTACAATTGAAAAAATAAATATATAATTTCCTACTGTTAAAAGTTATTGGGTATCGCAGTGGTAACATAGTGGTATCATAGTTGTATTCATCAAGCAGATCTAGTATCATAGTGTGTGTGTGTGTATATATATACCGATATTAATATCAAATTTACTATTTAAAGTTCTTGTTTTTTCTGTAATTTTTTTAATTCAATTACTTATAATTTAATCTAGATTTAATAATGAAGTAATTTATTTATCGTTTAATAATATAATATTTTATAAAGATAATAATTAAGTATTGTATTATAACTAATGATTATCCTAATCATATTTTAGATTGTTTATACTTAAAATGAGATGTTTATCCCGTATTTGATTATGTTTATCTATAGTTAGTTACACGAATTCAAAAATGAAACTTTAATAAGTTGTATTTACGTACAATTTACTTGTGATCTTGAATTTTAAGTAACATGCATTAATAAACAATACTTTATGCATAAAAAATGGTTTTTAAGAGTTTTATCAAATGTTTTATAATATAGTATAGATAAATATCATGCATTTTTCATAATTCGTGATATCATGCATTTTCATCGTGAATATATACTACGATATTCATCAAACACAAATAGTCGGTTTGCAGGACCTCTTAATGTTCTCGTTTGAACCTGCCCTAACACACTAAGGGGCCATTTGCTAAATACATACTTGGTAAGTGTTTGTTCGGATAAATTTCCTTATCGGATGAACATGAGAAGGGCCAAGAATCTTACCGGGTAAGAGCAATGAGAATGATGGAGAGTCTTACCTGGTAAGTGAGGATAACGACTCTTACCCAGAGAAGCACTTACCCAGTAAATTGTTGCATTCGATATGTTTTGATGTACTAAAATCTTGCGCATCAAAATAAATCATAGTGTTGACTCCTATCAGTAAGCGCTTACAGGGTAAGCAATTGGGTAAACGGCCCCTAAAACACACATAGGTTAAACGACCATTTTCACACACAGGTGAAGATTTTCCAGACTGTTATTTTCGAGAGTCCATGAGATTAATCAAGAGATCACACAAGTTGGTTTGAACACCCACAGTCACCCAAAAAAGAAGTCGAACATAGATGGTTACAAGTATAGAATCTCATCAACAACAACAAACCCGCATCACTAAATTCAAATCCGCGAAAGCCCGACGACCAACATCGGTCTAAAATCACCGTGATCGACCGTTTTCACGACCCCAAAGTCAAAAAGTCGAAACATAGACCGGTTACAAGAAACCGTATTTCATTGAGAACAACAAGCCCAAATCAGTAAAATTCGAATTCATGTTCGTCCCACAACCAACAATGAACGAAAAATCCAATTTCGATATACTACCACTTATAAGCATATACTAAAAAAAACACGTATCGGTTAAACGCTTACTTTTGTCAATCTGTTCATCGGAAAGTCAACTATAAAACCTTTGACTTACAAGATCGAAGCCATGCTGTGTTTCCAACCCAACGATCTCCTGACCATTTTTGGCGGGCTGAAGCTAAGCCCGAACATCTCCTTGAGTGCTTGACCCTGCTCCGAGAACCTGATCAGCTTTGCGACCATGGAAGCACTATCGTGGACCTGATTTGGATCCTCCGTGTTGCTCCAGAGACGGTGGATCAGCTGCAACCGCCTTCGTTTTGAGTTCGGATTCACACCCCATTTTTGGTAAAGTTTCTTCTTTTCTTCCTCGGAAAACCGTTTGTTCATCAGCCTGCTTAACATTCCTCTCTCCCTCCGAAGAGCTTTGATGCTGTTTACCACGGAAAAAAAAACGCTTGTTTGTAAACCAAGATTTTAACGGTTTTTGTGGGTTCAATTGGAACGATTAGCATGTCGTTTCAAAAAGATAGGAGAATGCACAAAAAACTCAATTGCCAACGTATCAACCGCACCCTCAAGGGAATGAAAAGCCATACTTAAAAAACGCATTTCGACAACAAATAACAAAAAGACCGAAACTTCAAGAAAGAAAGATAAGAGTACCTTGACGCGGACGTTAGAGTGTGCCCATCTTGAACCGCGGGATTTCCCTTCGAAAACGTTTCCTTGAGAAACGAAAGCCTCCGAACCTCGACTTCCATGTAAATAGAATCCATCGGGTCGCCTCTAAATAACAAGAAAAAATACGTCCGATGAATCAAAGAAACATTGCAAGCTTCCCAAAGTTCAAGTATAGATTTCTGCAGCCTTGCAAATTCTTGAGGCCAATCTGCGGGCGGTGAATCCGAAATCGAATTCAATCCTATGCTTTTGACGTCTTTCCCTAATCCGTCACCTTCCGCTCCTGATCCATGAACCTACGACATCCATATAAGAATCAACGTTAAAATTCCACAACAAAAAGCATAAAAATTGTAATCCCAGTTCACCATGGGTGCGTTTGGTAGGCAGAAGGGACTAGACAGGACTCGACGAGATGAGTTTGACATGGGTAGTTTAGTAATTTACCAATAAGTGAGCTAATCGATCTCGAGTTCGAGCCCGTAAATGATTACCGAGCTCGAGCTTGAACATTAAAAAAGTATTTGAGCTCCAGACTGAAAAAGTTATTCTCGAGCTCGAGGCAGGTAACGTATTTTTGAGCTCGAATAACCTGCAACTCGACTCGACTCGGCTCATTAACTCCCCTAATCCTGTCCCAGTCTAAATATCGCACCAAACGGGTGACAAGTCAAAAGTCAAACCTGGTCATACTGAAGTTTTGCCATTTTCTTCAATCCTGCAACGAATGTATCTACACTAGGAATAATATCTTCTTCTCCAGAGTTTTTGTTCTTCTGAGCCTCGTCCAACATAACACTTCCAAGGGAAGATTGTGAATCGCTTCTCAACAGCTTCCCACCGGCGGCACCACCATACTCCGGTGGTGGAAGATCCCATAGCTTCCGCTGCATGCCACCACCGCCACCGCCTTCAGGTCGTCCTGGAAACCCTTTATCGAAATCATTAGGTGGGGTGTTCTCAAATTCCGGTGGGGAAGAACTAGTCATAAGATTAGCTCTACAACTCCTGCTCCTAGTGAGCTTAAAGCTCGTGGAATTCGATATCTGCGATTGTACTTCCTGTTCTTCCTCGGCATACGGTGGTGTAACTAATGAATTTATGGTGTTCTGCAAATCTTGGAAATTCTGCTCCAATGCCCCGATGTTAACCCGATTCCGGAAGTGGTTTCTTTCGGTGGGACGCAACGCTGATTCGACTTCGCCGTTGGAAATGCCGGCCGAGTCCGAAGCCATGTGATCATTGGTGGATCCATCGGTTTCAACACATCGAACCTCCTTGCAGATATCGCTGGAATCTTCTTCGGTTCTCGTTGCATACAAAGTTCTACTCGATGATGAGGGCGAATTAGTGTTTTCTTGCTGTGGAGTTTTACCGGATAACTTAACACTTGATGTTTCAGATGCCAAATATCCATCTTCACATGTGCTACCTTCTTGTCCAACCTAAAAGAAAAGTTGCAGAACAAAAAGATCAGAAATTTGAGTTCTTATAACATTTGCTTTGTGGGTCTTAATTTATATGGCGCGAGAAGAAATTACGGGGCTGTTTGGTTGTTTTCCATTAAGTCTTGTATGGATAAAGCTCTCTGTGTGGATTAATATGTCTATATAGATGGGGAATTTTGTTTGAGAGGGTTTTGTCATAAATGACATGAGCATGTTTTTTTAATTGGGAATGGCGGGTTTGGAAACAACTTCCCTTTCTGCATTAAGCT